GATATTGGTAAAATAATAAAAAATTTTTACAAAGTGTGTAGTAGGCATTGTACATTCACAATCTAATTTACTAGGACCTATGGGACAGATTTAAACATGAGGAAACATAACCTCATTTAAGGAAACAGCCAAGGTCACACAGCTTTTAAGTGGCAGGGTCAGAACTTGAGCCCAGGTCTCTATGACTAGGAAATCTAATCACGGAAAGTCTGTACAATATTGCTTTACGTCTATATACCATTTAGTTTTTAAAATATTTCCACACAGATTACCCCTGAGAAGGCTCCTCAGGATCAAACCTGAAACTCCTTCCCCCAACTTTACTTAAAAGGGCATGTAACTAAGGTAGCAGAGCTAGTTGAAGACCTTTGACTTTTATTTTCTTATTTTTTCTTGAGACAGTCTCACTATGTCACCCCCAGTAGAGTGCCATCATATCACAGCTCACAATCTCAAACTCTTTTTGGGCTTAAGCGATTCTCTTGCCTCACCCTCCCAAGTAGCTGGGACTATAGGCACCTGCCACAACACCCGGCTATTTTTCGGTTGGAGTTGTCATTGTTGTTTGGTAGACCTGGGCTGGATTCGAACTTGCCAGCTCCAATGTACGTGGCTGGCACCCTAGCTAGCTAATCTACAGAGCTTTGACTTTTATTTTATTTTTTTATTTTTTAGAGACAGAGACTCACTTTATTGCTCTCTGTAGAGGCATCCCAGCTCAAGGCAACTCCTGGGCTTAGGCAATTCTCTTGCCTCAGCCTCCTGAGTAGCCAGGACTACAGGTGCCAGCCAAAACGTCTGGCCATTTTTTTTGTTGTTGCAGTTTGGCCGTGGCTGGGTTCCAACTGGCCACCCTTGATATATGGGGCCCGTGCCCTAACCACTGAGCCACAGGCACCACCCCATCTTTGACTTTTAGTCTAGTGCTATTCCACTTACAGCTCAGGAAGTGCCATTTTGTTCATTTAATACATTTGAGATTTATAGCTATTCCTTTGACCATGATTTGGAAGGTTATTATTACTGATTTACATTTGAAAGCTAATACCTATAGCACAACCTTAGGAGGAGCTATGATCTGCAAGAGCTAAAGTGTTAATCTCCTTGCCTAACTGTCCAATGCTCACTCACTAAACAATTTAATGAGTACCTATCATGCACTTCAGCATTCTGGTGCTGACACAACAGTAGAGCCCAGTCATTGAATACCTAGAAGTTTTACAGTCTACTGAGGAACAGCCCAGGGAACGGGAGTTAAATACAATGTGCTAGAAGTGCTACCTCTGTCCCTAGAAAAAGAGAAGAAAGCATTCCTGACGGTGGCAACAATCTAATTAATCTATACAGGTGGGGAAAACAAAAACTTTTGTGTGTGTTGGAGGGGGTTGAGACAAGAGTCTCACTATGTAGCCCTAGGTAGAGTGCCATGGTGTCACAGCTCATAGCAACCTCAAACTCTTGGGCTTAAGCAATTCTTTTACCTCAGCCTCCCAAGCAGCTGGGAATAGAGGCACCTGCCACACACCTGGCTATATTTTGGTTGCAGTTGTCATTGTTTAGCTGGCCCAGCTGGGTTTGAACTGCCAGCCTCAGTGTATGTGGCTGGTGCCGTAACCACTGTGCTATTGGCACCCAGTCCCCTTATGTGTTTTTTTAATGGTGGACTACAGTACAATCCCCTGATAAATTTTAGGGCTTCTACACTTACTTCTCAGAAATGTTATTTATTTATATATTCATATAAACATATTTGAGACAGAGTCTCACTCTATTGCCTTGGACAGAGTGCCATGGTGTCATCATAGCTCACAGCAACCTCAAATTCTTGGGCTCAAGTGATCCTCCTACCTTAGAATAGCTGGAACTACAGGCACTCAACCTGATGCCTGGCTAATTTTTCTATTTTTAGGAGAGACAGGGTCTCACTCTTGCTAAGGCTGGTCTGGAACTCCTGAGCTCAAGCAATCCAACTGCCTCAGCCTCCCAGAGGGCTAGGATTACAGACTTGAGCCACTACCCCTGGCCTTACTTATCACAAATTGATAAAACTAGTCTCAGAAATGCTTTCCAAACTTTAAATCACTTGTGTGTATGTATTAACTGTGTACAAAGTCAAAGCTTATTTTTATATTCTATCTCAGCAGCAACCTCACCACCAATTCCTGCTGCTAATCTTCCAGATTTCATTAGTAATTATGTTTATTGCTTTCACAAATTCTCTAAAGTTGGGAAATTGTGGAGTAAAACTGCAGACTCATTCAACTACTTTCACATTGACATCTTCCCCTCTAGTAGTTAATGCTTTTTAGCTGGTTTTCCCTTTCTCATTTTGGTCTCAGCCAGACAGGACTGGTTTGGACTTCCACAGCACTTAAGGAATTCTCCTTATTCAGTGGAATGTCACCTGGGCAATTAAGCAACACTACTTATTATGTTCTTCTCTCGAGATAGGGAACCTAGCTATGGAGAAAATTGATAGAGAAAACTATATATCTGTAGCAAGCATGGCTACGTAAGCTAATATATTGAAAGTATATTAGTACTATTGTGCAGTATAGGTCATTAAGTACAAAATGGTAAAATTATGAACCACAAGAGATTATAGTACTCTTTATTTCCTGGGGAAAACAAAATCTTCAAGGTTATGTTTTCTCAATAGGCCAGTTTTTTTGTTTTGAACTTACTATAAAAAATATTTTGTTAAATTGCTATTATTCTACAATTATATCTTTTTGTTTTCCTTAAAAAATAAGAACAGCTTATTTTTGGTCTTGAGAGATCAAATTAGAGAGAATTTGGACAATAAAGAAAAACAAAAGTAAGCCAATCACATTCACCACTCAAAGACGATTCCATCTCGTTTTTCAGCTGTCTTTTTAATGTATTCTTCAAATGCATTAGTTAGAAAATTATAACGTATATGAGAATATGATTTTTCATATAAACAAAAAGAGCAATTTAAATTAAAAAAATTTTGTAAGGCCTTTCAATGGAAAAGCATGGAACTTTCTGAGTTTGCAGTATAAATAAAGAGTTTAACCTCAAACAGAAAAATACTCATCCCTTAATCACATTGTTTAAGGTAAAAACATTGGCTACTACATTACATACAAGGGAGTACACTGGGTTGGGCAAAAAATGTAGGCAAAACAATTTCTGTATTTTCACAAAATACTACTTAAAATCTGAAGAGGTCACTTGTAGTTTCACAAATGGGGAAAGCTAAGGAGGGATACAAGTTCTCTTAATATAAATTTACCACACAGCTGGTCAAGGAATTGATTGGGAGTGGCCATTACTTATGATTTTAGGGAAGAATGGAAAAACGAGAAGGATTAAAGGCAAAAAATCTGAAGTCAGCAATATCTGGGTTAATATTCTTGGCTTTAGGTTTATGACCAAACAAATTATATTTCCAACCCAATCAGTTTTTGAAGAATTATTACTTCGCTGTCAGGGAAACCTAGTCACTTTTCCCTATGGTACTGTGGGCCTCTGGCAGATCACGACACCAAAACACCATCTTCCAACGCCTCCCCATTCAATCGAAACTGTCGCGTTACCAGCATCCCCTGGTCTGATGTCTTTATTTCATTAACTGTCTTCTTCAGAGAGGAAAAAGCCTCGCTTTTACCCTTTCTGTCCCATCCGAAGCATGTGAACACCAATAGAACCCTTCCTGCAGGGATGTCAGATTTAAAAACCCTCAGAATTAGTGAGAAAGCATATTCGGAGGAAAGCTTTTCAGTGACTCCGCAGTGAGGGCCATATCAGGGACATTACCTCCCAAGCCTGTCTCACCGGAGACGCCTCTGCCTCCAGGGTTTTTCCTACCTCTCCGCTCTCCAGCCACTGGGAGCTTTACTGAGGGTTAAGACAGTGAGGGCCTTAGCCAAAAAAGGGGTTTTGAGGAATGGAACCTGACCGCTATTGCAGACCCCGAGGAACGGCTGAAGCAATCCTGCTACCCGAAGCCCCAAAGACTCGAATAATGGCCGCACTCTCTTCCTACCCTGGGACATCTCAATCTCCAGGTAGCGGAGTCGACCATAGTGGGGAAGTAGGGATCAAGAGATCTGGTAAAAGGAGCTCCTAGCCTGTGCAGAGTGACAGCGGAGAGCAAGCCCCAGGCAGCAGAGGCCGCCTTCGCACTCCTTCGCTTCCTCCTCCCACCCCTTCTCCTAACCCCACCAGTCGCTGGTTACCGGTCGCCGCTCACCTGCTGGGGCGCGAGGTGCAGAAGCAGTACCGATCACAGACCCAGAAGCTCTGTCACTACGCGAGGGGAAGTCTTCAGCCGCGAGGGGGGGGGCGGGGCGGGTCCAATCTGTCACGTGACCTAGAGCTCCGCCCTTAGCCCCCCATCCTGCCGCGCCCCGGATCGTTTGAATATTAATTTTCTTTCATTAAAGGAAAAAAGTAAATTTAATTTTTTCGCAAAGATGTTGTAAAGTGCAATGCAGAAAGCGTGGATGACAAGGGTTAAAGTGCATTGCTAAGGAAATGACGTTCCCATCACGATCTAGGGACCGGAACTGGCGATGGAGTCCCGTCCCTTTCGGGGCCCGTGGGTAAAATCTCCGGCTATAAGGTTGGGGCCAATCACGTGACCTCAAAACTTGAGGCGTGCTGGAGAGTAGCTAAGTTATCCGGCTGATTTTTAATTACGTTTGTTTTAAAACCTCTCATTTACGTGAGTTTTCCACTGACTTATTTACATTTAGAAGAACCAACTGTATAAAAACCTATTAGGAGACAAGAGCACTTGAAGGTCACTCTCGAGAATACCAACTGGGAAGAACAGGGTCTGGAAAGATCTTGTCGATGTGAGATAGGAAAGTAAGGGGTGGAAAAATCTGGATTTTGCCGCCGGGGCCTACCAGGCAAGCCCCACAAGTAACGTCGTAAGGGGTAGGAGGCGGAGCTTGAAGCCGAACTGCGCAGCCCAATAGAAAGATGGAGGTCCCGGATTGGAGGGGGAAGGGTGCCTGGAGGCGAGTAGTGCGACTGCGCGCGAGGCGGCGGACGCGCCGGCGCGCAGAGGGGGCGGGGTGAAAGGTCACGGCGCAGCGCCGGGGCTGGCTGGCGGCTGCAGCGGGCGGGAGCCGGGAGTCCCGTGTGCACGTGTGGAGAAGCGGCTGCACCAGTGCGGCGGCGAGAGACACCTCCGCCACCTCGGGAGATTCAGGGCCGCGCTTGACTCTCGCAGCCTCGGTCACCCGCTCAGCTCCCTGTCCAAGGCGAGGAGGCCAGCTTTCGGGGTTGGTAGCCCGAGCTGAGGGCGCGGAGAGCTCAGGGCGGCTAAGACGGCGGCGTTGATATCGGCGGTAACGACGGCCTCAGTAGGCGGGGAAAATGAAAGGGTGAGGAAGGGCACTGGACTGGGCCCGGCCGACGGGGTGAGGGGCCCGGGCCCATTTAGAGGGAGAGGGCGGTAAGACCGGGAGAAGGGAGATTGTAGGCTTCTCAGGGACTGAGGCGAGGCTTGGGCTGTTGGCGGGGTGAAGGGCGGACGGAGGCGAGACCGGAGGAACCCAGGATTTCGGCCTGGAGGACGAGGGTGGGTTGATTGGAGACTAGCAGCTACATGGGCAACCGGGAAAAGCTGTCGTGAGGCTCCTGGGGCCTCTTCTCTTGGAGCGGACGACTTGAGCCATCGCGGCCCGCCCGCCACTCTAGGTGGAGTGGTGTGGTTGTCCTCTTCGGCACATCCACACTCCGTGGTGGAATTGCGGTCTTTGGCACTTTTCACTTTTATTCACGCCTGGGAGCCGTGCAGAACCGTCGAGGGAGGGGAAGAAATTAGAATAAAGAGCATGGGAATGAGTATTAAGAGCTAGTGACTCAACTAGATTTGGGTTGGGTCAGAACGAGTGGAGGAGGGGGAGAGAGCGCGATCACTGTAGACTTGGGGTGCCAAATATTCTAGGAAGTATTGAGGATCAGTAGGTGGAGCTATTGCGTAAGTAGTTTGCTGTTGCCCCCGACCGCTGGGAGAGGGTCTTGGGTAATTTGGCTGTTTTATTCAGGTCATAGTCAAAGCTAACGTTCGGTCTGTCAGTTTTTCTCTTTCATAAAATTAGGGACTACTTTGATTAGTCTGTTTCCATTTGGAAATGGAAATGCCTTCTTACCATTTGGTTATATACTGTTAAAGTATTGATTTCATAACATGGTCTTAAAGCATTGGCTATATAAGCTGCGTTTTTGGAAGCTTGTTTTTACCTTCCTTAGACAGGGAAATGAAACTTAACGATAATAAGAGCTTTCTGAGTTGTCTTTTTTTTCTGTTATCGTTAAGTCAGTTAAAGAATTGTAACAATGTTTCAAGTTAGTGAACCCTTTCAAACTAGTTCAGCGCCCTTTTCAGATGAAAAAAGAGGCAAATATTCACTTTTCAGAATAATCTCATTTTACCTAGAACAAAGATCTAAATATCTTGTGTTTATCTGTGTTTCAGGTTGCTGAAGAGAAAAGTTTGAGAAAGTTTAATTTGGTCTTTAACAAATAAGGCCGTAACATAGCCTTACTCTAATTTTGCTTTAAAAACTCGACAGTTATTCTAATGTTGAATTGTATGTCTTACAATAAGAATCTTTAAAGTTTAGAAAACATGACTTTCTCACATATTTCCCAATTTCTAAAGAGTTTCAATTAGGAAACTAATTGAGGGATAGACAGAATTTTCTCCTTGATTCGTGATCTAGGAATTTTGGCTATTTTGTACATGGTCCAGCATAATTGGGGAGTTTGTTTTTGTTTCAGTGGACTCTGCTCCTTGTATGTGGTTGCTGTCTGTTACTGGGTTTTTGTATTCTTATTGCTAGGCACTCAATACATACATTAGGTTCCCTTAAGTAAGAAAAATGAGGCCAAAGTGTTCCTAGTGTTGAAACTGCCATGGATTTATAAGGGACTTTTAAGAAATTGTTCTGGATCTTTAGATCCAGATCTTTGATCTAGCTCAGTCTCTATAGGGTGTAATGTTCTTTCTGATACCTAACTTGGCAATAGAAATGGGGCCAAACAGTGATATTCACAATCGGTCTTTAATTAATATACTTATGAGGCACTTGCCTTTTTGTTTAGAATAGATTATTTATGTGTAACATGATGGAAGAGGATCCCTAAAAGTGAATAACTGGCCAGATTAGAGGAAACCGTTTTTGAATTTGTACATTATGCTAACAACTATACCTGTGTAATTCCTATTCTCATCATTGGGAGCTTAGAATTGTGTTCTTTACTTTGAAACAAAGATTTCACAGGAATAGTTCCTTTTATTAGAATTGTGTTCTTTAGTTTGAAACAAAGATTTCACAGGAATAGTTCCTTTTATTATACTGCCAGGATAAGCTTCCAGTAAGATGGGACTTTAAACATTTTTTTGCTTCTAAGTCTGTATTTAAAGCACTAAAGACATGAGGACAGTATAAATTTAAAAGTTGTTAAGGTCCTTGAGTTTCAAAACTTGTATCACAGATCACAGTACTACTGTTTTGATAGTCCTGACTCTTGACTTGTAAATAGCCTGTGGAAATGAAAAAGTGGTTCAATGTGATTTTTGTATGAGATTTTATTAAGTGTTTTATTGTATATTGATTTACCTTAACAGTTAGTTGAATAGAAGCATCTAAAATTGGAAACTGGCTCCGTGCCTATAGCTCAAACAGCTAAGGCGCCAGCCACATACACCAGAGCTGGCAGGTTCGAATCCAGCCCAGGTCTGCCAAACAACAATGGCAACTACAACCAAAAAATAGCTGGGCATTGTGGCGGGTGCCTGTAGTCCCAGCTACTTGGGAGGCTGAGGCAAGAGAGTCACTTAAGCCCAGGAGTTGGAGGTTGCTGTGAGCTGTGATGCCATAGCACTCTATCCAGGGCAATTGCTTGAGGCTCTGTCTCAAAAATAAAATAAAATAAAAAATAAATAAAATTGGAAACTTCAGAAGGCCCAACTCCAAATCCATCTACCATTTAAATAATTGTACATTGTTGCCTGTATTTCTTATCATTTTAAAACTTTTAAAACTTATTTTATCTGATTTTCCTCATATTTTTGCTATGAGTATTTTTATTAGCAATAGGACATTCCATTCTATTGGCATGTAGCATTTGCCTTTTTTCCACAGTAGATAGATTTCCAGTTATTGACTATTTCATATGTTTATATGACTATCTAGAAGTTTGAGATCTAGGAAATGTTCCATCTTTTTTACTGAGGTTGCTTGTTATTATGAACCAGAGACATTGTAGATTGAATTTGCAGGTGAATTTTTATCTGGTGTTCCTTTCTGGGTTAGGAGATTTTGAAAGGTATACACAGCCAATACTGAGGTGGCAATATAATTAGTGTAATAGAAAGTAAAACTAAATCTGTTTACTCTTCGATTGTAGTAAAGCAGTGCAAATTCTAGTAATAACGTCTTTAACAAGATATGAGAAAATCAGCATAAACATAGAACTGTGTGGTTTACTAATTGGAATATATAAAGAAGCTGTTTTGACTAATGTCACTAGGAAATAGAAAATTCTGCAGTCAAACAAAACTATGTGAAGAACTCAGAATAACAGTGACCTCAGACAGTATATGGGCTGGTAGAGGGCACAAGGAAGTTTTTCTGAGATGCTAGAAACATTTTGTGTCTTTATCTGGGTGTTGATTACATTGGAAGGGGGGTATGTGTATAAAAAAAAAAATGTTTGGCTCAGCGCCTGTGGCTCAAGTGGCTAAGGCGCCAGCCACATACACCTGAGCTGGTGGGTTCGAATCCAGCATGGGCCTGCCAAACAATGACAGGGCTGCAACCAAAAAATAGCGGGATGTTGTGGTGGGTGCCTCTAGTCTCAGCTACTTGGGAGGGGGAGGCAGGAGAATCGCTTAAGCCCAGGAGTTGGGGGTTGCTGTGAGCTGTGATGCCATAGCACTCTACCCAGGGTGACAGCTTGAGGCTCTGTCTCAAAAAAAAAAAAGAAAAGAAAAAATGATTGAGCTGTACACAGTTTTGTGATTTTTTTTTAATACTTTAATTATTAAACTTTTTAAAGGTTATATTGCTACTTTTGTCAGCAAAATATAAGCCAGTCAGGCTGAACCAGCATTTGACTGCTTTTATAAAATTTATGTACAGCCATCAGGCAAGGTGGCTCATACCTGTAATCCCAGCCCTCTGGGAGGCCAAGGCAGCTGGATCACCTGAGCTCAAGAGTTCTAGAGCAGGCTGAGCTAAAGTGAGACCCTCATCTCTAAAAATAGCTTGGCATTGTTGTGATGTCTATAGTCCTAGCTATTCAGGAGGCTGAGGCAAGAGAATTGCTTGAGCCCAAGAGTTTGAGGTTGCTGTGAGGTGTGACACCACGGCACTCTACAGGGGGTGACAAAGTGAGACTCTGTCTCATAAATAAAGAAAGTGTGGACAATTCTTACTCCTTCTTTGAAACCAATAATTTGTGGTTTGTTGATTGAGATGGTGAATTTTAACAAATACTTTGTTTTTTTAAAACACATACATTCATCCCAATAACTAATACTTTGTTATTTATAACAAATACTTTGTTATGTTATATATAACACATACCATGTTGAGATGAACCATATAAAATATAAACTATCCATACCACAATTTTTTAAAAAACAATGTAATATCCTAATTAATATAAAGGAGAAATACGAGGAAAATACGAAATCTATTTCAGTATGTAATGATCTGGTACAACTGTGTCACAAAGCATATGAAGATCAGATGTTTGTGTCTGTCTGTACATTATTGTATAATTTAAAAAGTATATCTACTATCTGTATAGGTGTGTGCAGTGGTGACTAATGCTGTATTGCCATCTGGTGTGATTTCTTCCCAAATTGCAGACAGCTCTTGAAGATGCTCTTAATAAAGAATAATCAAGAATTTCTGGGTTGGAAAAGATTTTTTAAATTTATTTGATAGGCCAAGCACAAACCTATTACGTCAAAATATATTCCCTGTTTACCGTAATTTCATGCATCCATTAGATTCTCTGAAGGAGCCTGCAACTTTGATCCCTCACGTGTGCAGTTTAAGGTAGGGTTTGAGCTCCTGTGAAAATCTAATGCTGCTGCTGTTGTGAAAGGAGATGAAGCTCGGGCAGTGATTCATGCAATGGGGAATGGCTATAAATACAGATGAAGCTTCCCTTACTGACCCAACAGCACACCTCCTGCTGTGAGGCCTGGTTCCTAACAGAGTGGGGTTGGAGACTGCAGATGGGAAGCATTATCTTTCAAACTCAGTGGTTTTGCCAGACCAAACTAATGTTTATATTAAATTTCATTTGCTAAATCTTCTGTTTTGGCCTGTGGAAATCTTTTGACTCATTTTCTCTTCTA